TCTGATTCTTCTTTGGGCAGGACAAGGAAGTTCCAGGCACGGAGGGAGCCAGGCAGCCAGCACCCAGTCTTTAGTCTTCTCACACTTCCCCTTGGCATCTCTTGGAAGAGCGAATGCACAGGGCCGGGACAGGGGCAGGTTGTCCACCCAGCACCAGTTCCTGCTGCCCAGCCATTACACAGCACAGGGAGACTTTCAAAGGGCTCCAAACTGCCCCTAGATGATTGGTGGTCTGAGGACCACCTGACCCTGCATCAGGGAGCTCTCATGAGGAGAGCAAACTCCTGGGTCTGGCCCAGACTGGCCAGGACACATGCTGGACCAAGGCAGAGCCTTTGCATGTATCGTTCCTTTGCATCTAGGAACAGTACTTTACCCAGGAGTAGCGTTCAATAAATATCTGTGGATTGAATGAATGAGCCAGAAATGTCAGGGCTGGGGGCTAGAGACCCGATTTCTTCACAAATCCGCCAAGTGATTCAGAGGCACTGGTCTGGAACAGAGCTAGAAGAATTGTGAGTCGAAGCCAACGATAGCCCATCACAAGGTACTGTAATGACCTGTTTGTATGCATGCCCTCTCTTGGAGGGGGGGGGCACCAGTGGGTGCAGGGTCTTGGTGTCCGTCGTGCTGCACAAAGTATGTGCACAAATAAATGTGAGCGTGTGAACAAATGAAGAGAGTCACAGATTGTCTCAAGGCGAAAGTCAGAGCCGAACACAGATGGGAACGCAGGGAGGCAGGGAGACTTGGGGAGGAGGATGGAAATGGTAACAAATACGGAGGTTCAAAGACAGGCGGCTCAGGAGAAAGAAACCAATTAGTTTCTATCCAGGCAGTCCTACACCTACCTTTGCCACGCACATGACCTCGGCTAGCCTGCCTGGCTTCCCAGGGTAGCAGGTATTATTAGCCCATTTGGCAGATGAGACAACCGAGGTGAGGGAGGTCAAATGACTTGCCCAAAGGTGATTCACTGCAGGCGGCAAAGGGCCCAGACTGGACAGATGGAAGGAGCAGCTCTGAGCAAGTCGGAGATGCAAGCAGAGATACTGAATGCGTTCGGAGACAGCGAGAGCGAGCGCCGCAGGGGAGGTCAAGGGAGCGGGCGGAGAGCCCACACTCTTCCACTGGAGTGAAACCCGTGGCTCCTCCGCCAGTGGCTCGCCTCCCCTAGCCGGCGGGAGGCTGGGGAACCCACCAGAGAGAGAGGCGAGGGGGCGGGGCCCAGAGCGCGGCTGGGGCCCCCAGCTCCGGGCTTGGAGACCCCACCGCCCACCCTCCGGCGGGGGTCTTCCGCCCGGCCCCCAACATAGGCGGGCGGGGGAGCCTCGGGGCGCGTCGCGCCCCTCCCCCCTCCCCCTCAAACTCAAACAAAGGAGCCCCGGCGCGCGGCCGGGCTCCAGCGGCGCCGAGCACCGCGCGGGTGGAGGGTGCGTGCTCGAGTCGGGAGCGCGCCAGCCCGGCCGGGCGTCCGTCCGGTTCGGCCCGGCTACCTGGGGTTACTGGAGTTCCAGTAGACGGCGTGGCGGACGCCAGAGCCCCCCCGCAGCGGGGAGCCGAGGAGCGCGGCCCAGAGGACAGTCCACAGCAGGGGCAGCAGCCGCATCGCCCCCAGGGTCCGGTCTGCTCTGGTCCGGCTCGGCCCGGTCCGCTTCGCAGT